TCTGAAAATAAACAGGATCTTACAGTAGTCCCTGTTTCCTAATGGGCTATATATGTGATAAATCATTGTCTGTCTGACTTGCAGTCAAGAGATACATCAGAGACTCCAGAAGTTTTGATGGCACTTTCTTTATGTTCAAATCATCAAGAAAATAGTTTTTTAATGGACCCCCTTTATATGTCTAGCACCCATTTTTATAAGAATTTTATTCTATAAATCAAGTTTCAACTTCTTAGTAGATCGAAGAATGACTTTTCTCTAGTGTCAGAACATACTCGTTAATTTTCAAAGTAATTTTTTACAACCTCATATGCATTTCAGCAATTGTTAGGTACATTAATTTTTAAATATACTGTATTATTTTTATGATTATCATTTCTAATGGCTTCTTCCAACATGTCTGCATTTTTTTATTATTTCCTGTTGTGGTTTATGTAATGATGTTTATATTGTTGCAATTATTACTTTTAATAATTATTTGAACCTCATATATTGACGTATCCTTTTAACTTCTTCATAATGTAGAACCAGGTTTTTGTGGTATTATCAGAAAGATTTTCTTCCATGTCAAAATATTCCTTGTTTTTCCCTCTTTGTCTCTTAGTTTTAAGCTCTCAGCCTCACAATTCTCTGTGATATAAAATGCAAATGAAAAATCTTGGTATCTTTCTCAGTACAGATATTTTTTCTTATGGTTGGCTTTTAGTTTTTTGCAAAACTTGTGTTAAGTGTTGCAAATATTTAAAGTATCATGTTACTTTTGACCGGCTGTATATTTCAAATGTATTTTCTACTTTGAGTTCTACCTCTGATGTTCTGGTGACCCAAAGACCTACCTTTACCTGTAAATCAGTCTACAGGTTCTGCATAATTGAGTCTCTTGGCAAAAATAATCTGATTGGCTGATTAGAAATAATTTTGTCCACCATTAAAACGGCTAATCCAGATCAGAATTAAGTTGTGTTCTTTATTTTGGTTGTGCAGGACTAATGTAAAAGCAAAGGGTTTATTCTCTAACAGTGATCAGCATTATTAATTTTTATAAACTAAGAATTTCCATAGAAATAGTACCCTATGAGAATCAGAGACTCCAGAAGTTTTGATGGCACTTTCTTTATGTTCAAATCATCAATAGAGCTATTACAGGGCTCTACTAGTATATATGGCATGTAAAGTATATAGCATATAGAAGGAATTATAAAGAAATTATATGACGGTTATGCAATAATACATTTTTATTTTAATGTTTAAAAGGTAAATTATTGCCGGGCGCGGTGGCTCACGCCTGTAATCCCAGCACTTTGGGAGGCCGAGGCAGGCAGTTCACGAGGTCAGGAGATCGAGACCATCCTGGCTAACACAGTGAAACCCCATCTCTACTAAAATACAAAAAATTAGCCAGGCATGGTGGCGGGCACCTGTAGTCCCAGCTACTCAGGAGGCTGAGGCAGGAGAATGGCGGGAACCCAGGAGGCGGAGCTTGCAGTGAGCCAAGATCGCACCACTGCACTCCAGCCTGGGCGACAGAGCGAGACTCCATCTCAAAAAATAAATAAATAAATAAATACTTTTTTTAAAAGGTAAATTATTTTTATTATAATTTCAGAGTAGTACCTAACACCATATCTTCTTCACCGTAATTTTCCTTGCATCATATTATCAATTAGCTGTAAACATGCTCATTTTAAATGCAATTCAAACGCCTCTAATAGAATCCTGTGGCAAAGTGAAGAATCCTTTCATATACACAGTACAGATGTGTCAAAACCATATACAGTTCTGTTTACACACATGACAGAACCACCACACCTAAGTGGCCCAACTGAAAGTTACAGTTTCCATCATTCTGTTAGGAGTTCTGCTACCATTTGTATATGTCAGTAGTGAAAACCAATCAACATAAGCATCTTTGAAACGCAATTTTAGATCATTAAAGATGTATGAATTTTGACAAAGCGAGGAGATTGGAGGCTTATTAAGAATATATTAGGTCTCTACAATGAGGGAGGCATTTATGTCTCAGTTCAAGGGGAAAGGTATAGCCGAATTGTAGCCCCATGAAACAAGTGGACAGGGGCAGGTACAGGTACAGAAAAAGATTCAGTCTTAGTCCTGACTGTTTCTACACACCTTTTGTGAGAAAAAAGAGCCTATTCCGGTAGGTTTCTGAAAATAAACAGGATCTTACAGTAGTCCCTGTTTCCTAATGGGCTATATATGTGATAAATCATTGTCTGTCTGACTTGCAGTCAAGAGATACTGGGTAATCATTTTCTAAAGAACTTATATGTGCCTTTTGCAAGTATAACGTCAATATATTACATTTGCTCAAGAGTCTCAATTTCTTTTTTCTTTTTGCTTATTTATTAACTTTTAATGTTTCATTATTTGTAGATCTCATAGTTGTAAATTTCCAAAGTTCTTTAAGAATAAAGAGTTGATTCCATTTGTCCTGCTCAGCTATTATCAAGGAGAATGTTGAAAATGACGAGAGTAGAGTGCATTCCAAAGAGTCTGTGAAAAGTGGTGTTAGTTCAGTTAGTTGAAAATGCTGAGTATTTCCTGGAATCATGACTGCATTTGCTAAAAACGTGAATAGACTGCATTTTTAGGAGATATGAAGTGCATCTCTGTCGTGTGATGTGAGTCTTATGTCAGCTGCAGCTACTCAATTTGCATGTAAATTCTGAAAATTTTCTTGTCCCATGTGACACTTCTGAAATGTCTGTCTGTTCTTTTTTCCTTTTTAATTTCCCAAGCTCACTATTTGGATAAGATAGTTAAAGGTACTGTATACTGCTCTTTGTTGACATATCTACATGTATATCTATATATAACCGTGTATCACTAGGTTTGACAATAGACTGTTTTCCATGCATATTTTTGTAAATTACAAATCAGACTTAAATTATGTAAAATGCCTTGGATTTAAAGTATTGAGACTTAAATGTCTGTGTCTCATTTTTATAATTTTGGGTTATGACAGATTTCATTCCTTTGTAAAAGCGTTTTCTCTAGAACCAGAAACTGAAGATAACGGTATATTTGCTGTTTTTTGGTTTTGGGGGTTTTTTTCTATCTTTCTTTCTTTCTTTCTTTTTGCTTTAAGATCTTCATTGTTGACAGTTCAGCTTAATGAGCTTTAAATTCTAAACTAAAGAATCACAAATACTCTTATCACAGAATAAGAAATTGTCAATCTAAAGAAGATTCTGGTTAACATGTTGAGAGAAATCTCATTTATTTCATACGGAAACTTCTTTGGTTTTTTTCTAAATGTTTCAAAATATATGTGATATCATAATTTATGTCTTGTTATTTTTTAAAAGCTATAAATACTGTACATTCTATAAAAAAAACTGATAACCTTGTTCAGCAGAAAACAGCAGATTCTCACATCTTCAGTTACCGTAGAAATAGATGGAAAAAGTTTTTTCAGAAGAGGAAATTCCCCTTCCCTTTCTCCTCAGATTACCTACTTTCTATTCCTTGTTTGTGCTTTTCATTAGAATATGAAAATATTCATGGCAATATCCAGGCTTTCATATACCAAATCTTACGTGCAGTCAGTCAGCTGCCGCACCTCCTTGTCAGTGGGGCAATTCCACCTTGCGTTTTCATTAAAAACAAAACAAAAAAACACATCCATCAAGAAGATTCACCTTTTATTTATTGAATAATCCATAAATACAGACGGTAATTGTCTGAACGAAAAGAAGCAGCAAAATTAATCTCTTCCTGACCTGATGGTATCCATAAGTGTTATTTCATTGTACTCTTCCATGAGAGACAGCCAAAATAGTCTTCTTTCTGTGAACTCTGATCTTAAGAGACAGAATGTCTCTTTACGATATTTTCTTTTCACGTTCCGCAGTGGAGGAGGGGACACCAATATATGAATAATTCTTCTAACACAGACTTAAAATAAACATCTGTAAAAACAGATTGTTCCCTTAAATTTTGTCACTGGAACAATAGTAGCATTCAAATGATAAGAAGCTGTAAAACAAACCCCAATTGCTGTAGCAAGTGTTTTTATTAATATGTTTTATACCAAATTATAAATAGCTCTGTCCACAGAGATCTGATGAATAGCCAGTTATTCTTCGAATGTTAGAGCATTTCTCTCCTCGCTTCTGTCAGTGTCATATCACACTCATAAACAAGGACACCAGAATCTACCCACGTGTCATCCTCATAAACAGATCACGTTGGCTGCATGCCAGATATCATCAGTAGGAAGTGGCAAAAATTGTTTTTTTTAAATGTCATGTTAGACTGAAACAATTATAGATTTTGGATATATTAAATTATTTTAATTGTTTCCCAAATTTTCCCTCCTTGCCCATAAAAGCAGACAAGATAGGATATAAAGGTAACAGCATAAAAGCCTTAGGGAGATTGTCACAAAACATCACTCTTCGCTCTCTGTCTTGAAGCACGTCACTACCGTGTTTTTGTTCAGTCTATCAATGTTTTATTGTGGTCCTTATGGTATTTCATTTTGTCCGTCCTAAGTAATCCAATATGCACAGCTATTACATTTAGTTGGAAATCCTGTCGGTCCTGTCCCATCCGTATGCAGCCTGAATCCTAATGTTTGTTAGAATAGATGCTAAGCTGCTTCACTATTTCCTGGGCTTTGCTTATTCTGTGACAAGGAATGTACTCTTGGCATAAAGTATAGTCATTAATACTGGCCTATACTTTGTGCAATTATTTAATGCACTGTAATTTCACATGAATATACGGCAACTCTGAGACCAGATAAAATTAATGTTCTCTTTTTAACATCATTCATATCCTTATACCCACTTTCATGCTTTTGGAGTTTGAGGGAATTTTTTTAAGCAACAAGGTGTTTTAAGAAGGCATGTCCTGATAAATGACCAGTAATGTTTAAAACAGATTACAAATCTAGACAAGGGATTCTGAAATTATTTTGTTGAGATGCTTTTCCACACCACACAATATACCTTGTTGCTTTGCTAAAGGGAAAACATGTAAGTTAATTTTGTCTGGCCTGCAACTATTTAGTGGATCGTTGCATATATTTCTGTCCTGCACAGGTAAGTGGTGTCTCAAGGGTCAAGCCAATCAAAGATGCCACTTGGATAAGAATTAGATTCCAGAGATAATGTTGCTGTTTCTATCCATGTGCAATTACAGTATTTGTGCTGTTTATAAAGGCCTGTTCCCACTAAGTGTCCCTTATCTGTTTATTTTAGGTACAAAAACTCAATACTCAAATCACTGGTGTTTTCCTTCTTTGTCTCAACAGAGGGTTGTCCTGGTCTGTGCAACAGCAATGGAAGATGTACCCTGGACCAAAATGGCTGGCATTGTGTGTGCCAGCCTGGATGGAGAGGAGCGGGCTGTGATGTAGCCATGGAGACTCTCTGCACAGATAGCAAGGACAATGAAGGAGGTAAGAAATGCTGAGCGTGAACACAAGTCTGTGCCAGAGCACAGGTTCAGAAGTGACAGTGAGTACATAGATATCTGTTGCCAAAAAAAAAAAAAACGTGATCCCCATAGATTAGATTGATTGAAAAATGTATGAGTGCTGATAGAATGATTTTGCTGTCCATTTTTCCTGAAACAAATGCAAGATGATTATCGTTCAGGGAAAAGGCAAGGTAACCACGCTACTGCATAATGTCCATTGTTCTCTGTTCCTTTTCCTGGTCCCCAGGTGACTCTTCTCCTCAACCACAGTATTCAGGGCTCTGTGAATTGGGAGCTCCAAAGCAGTGTTTTAATAACTAACATTCCAAAAGATGCAAAGAATGTTCCAGCCTCTTCTGTTGAAAGGCATGGATGGAAAAAGACAAAACAGTAACAGAGAACAGTCCCCTGGAAGCTGTACTCTAGTGACATTTTATCCTTAACTTGATACTTGGTTAGAAAGATGGTGAGATTCCACCTGGATGAAGCCCTTGGTTAAGAATAATTCTTTTCCCCGCTGAGCTCAGCCTCCACGTACTCTACTCTAATTTCAGGGAATAAAGTGAGAGTTGGTGATTACCTCTCCAGTGATGGAATAGTTGGCTCCGATAGCTGTTCTGTTTTGTTTTGTTTTGAGACAGAGTCTCGCTCTGTCGCCCAGGCTGGAGTGCAGTGGCGCGATCTCGGCTCACTGCAAGCTCCGCCTCCCGGGTTCACACCGTTCTCCTGCCTCAGCCTCCCGAGTAGCTGGGACTACAGGCCAGGCCGACCGTACCTGGCTAAATTTTTGCATTTTTAGTAGAGATGGGGTTTCACCGTGGTCTCGATCTCCTGACCTCGTGATCCGCCCACCTCAGCCTCCCAAAGTGCTGGGATTACAGGCATGAGCCACCACGCCCAGCCTTATTTTGTTTTCTGTGATGGAGTTTCACTCCTGTTGCCCAGGCTGGACTGCAATGGCGTGATCTCGGCTCACCACAACCTTTGCCTCCTGGGTGCAAGTGATTCTCCTGCCTCAGCCTCGCAAATGGCTGGGATTACAGGCATGAGCCACCACGCCTGGCTAATTTTGTGTCTTTAATAGAGACAAGGTTTCTCCATGTTGGTCACGCTGGTCCCGAACTCCCAACCTCAGGTGATCCGCCCACCTCGGCCTCCAAAGTGCTGGGATTACAGGCGTGAGCCACCGTGCCCGGCCAGCTGTTCAGTTTTGACATAGCTTTAGCACTGCATTTTTAGGAGGGCTGGAGTTCCTCTCCGGGCCTCTATGGACACTTGCCCTGTGGGTTAGATTGTGTTTCCCTACCACTCCACCAGCCCCAGCCATTCTCCCTGCTCTTTTTGAGACTGTACACACGTACGATAAAGCATTGGTGACAGTGTAGGTTTTGGAGCACACAGATCTTCACTGAGCGATGTAGTAATTATGTGACCTCAGACAAAATTTGTAATCACTTTAACCTCAATGGTTGCATCTATAAAGTGGCAGTGAAAGAGTTTTTGAAAGGATTGAGAAAATGCATGTGAAATATGTAGCGTATTGCCAGGCACAGAGCCTGCTCTGAGTAGCAGCTAGTATTATCCAGTTTTCCTTCTTTTGCTTTCAAAAGTGCTCATCTCGACTAAGTGAACTTCATAGAAGGTTGTCAGAGAAGCTTGAATAGCCTTTACCTTTCTATACCTATAGAGGGCCTCAACTACTATTCTGTAGGAAACAGAGCGACCAGAACCAACCCCTCAACCTCCCTTCCAACCCAAAACACACACACACACACACACACACACACAGACACACACACACAGACACACACACACACACACACACACAAGCCAGCCTGGGCTGACAGTCATTCTCAAAGCAAATGTTATTTGTGCCTTATCCTTCTGACAAGGCGCTGCAATTCTCTCCTTTCGTTTCTAGCAGACTGTTCACTGTTTTCTCTTAACTTGGACTGTCAAGCAACTTGAGCCGCGAATTCTGAGCTAAAGCCTTTCCTCTCTGCTCCTGACAGATTTAGGTGGCCTGTAGCCTTCACAGCTTTTCCTGCTCAGGAATACCTTGTTGCCCCGACTCCTCTTAACTGTGTGCTTTAGAGACATGGCAGCATGAATCCTCTCAAAACCACAGTACAGATGGCACCTGTCTTCATTACTTTCCCCCAAAGAACCCCCTACTCCATGGCTGCTATTGCCTAGGGAGGAAGGAGAGCTTCTCTTTCTCCTTGATCTTACAGTTCAGATTTTGCTTCTAAGAGAAGATTGCACCGAGGAGGTTACAGAGTCTCTCAGAGGGAAGCGGGCTGCAGGACCAAGTCTGCAGAGACACTGCCGACTAATTTAGGGGCTCATCAACTCTTTAGTATTGTTATCAGCTAAAGAGGTTTTTCCTTTTCCTCAAAATTTATCAGCTGTGAATTGGCCTCATTCCCCTTTGTTTATTCTGATTAGCAGGAAACGATGCTATCTCTAGGTTCCCCTCTCGGAGGGGAGATCTGAGCTGACAGAAGGCCTCCTGCGGATTCTCTGCCTGTCTCACATAATTTGTATTCCTGCCCCTAACCTAATTTTGCTGATCTTCTAAGAAGAAATCTCAGTGCCAGCCTTCTTATGCCCTGAGATTGTAACCTGGATGCTTTAAAACCTAAGTCAGCGGGTTCTTTGAACTTAAGCATAAGCTACATGTAGAAAGACAGTATTTTTCACACCAAACCCCAAATCAAAACACGAAAGATGGCAATGAAGGATGTCAATTATATGAAGACAGTCTAACAGAGTGTTTAAGAACTATAAATCCAGTCCTTATTTAGACCCAGAGTGGATTTTATTAGACTGAAATTCTAGGATATATGGTGACTGACTGTAGTGTTATAGATCCATTGTCTAAGTTTAGTATCAAAATGGTGACTTATCCAGAGAGTAGCTAAGTAACTTGATTTAGCATATTAAGTAACTCAGCAGGAGAGGGTGAAGAGTCCATTGTGGCCCTAGTCAGAAATTGAACACTTCCAATGAATAGCTACTATAGTTTGAGCAATTTTATAGAACACAGTGTTTGTAAAAGAAGAGCAAAGGAAGTTGCGTACCATTCCTGGAACTAAAGAAGTATCAAAGAATTTTAGAAAAGACATCCATCATATAGGGAGATCTTGAAATATCTTCTTAAACCAAGCATCTTCCTTCCCTTGCAAAATTTATTTTACTTCACCCAGTCAGGTTTGCCCCATCACCACTGTTGAATGCTAAAGATTTTAAACACCTGAATCTCCCTAAAGAGGTGTTCCTCCTTGCCTTTATGTATGTCTGTTCCCCTTTATCTGTAAAAAGCTGCTTTAGAAGGGAATTCTTTATGAGGAATAGGAAGAACGTAGATGGGGGCAACTTATCTACAGCCACTTCAGCCTGTGCTGCTTTCCAATAGGCCCTTGTTTCTTTTCAAACAAACAGCTGTCATGTATGCTGGGTAACTGTAGCTTTTCAGAGCTAAGGGCAATCTGTTGCCCATAATAAGAGCCCTGACAAAGATCTCCTCTCTCTCTGAAATCAACAAGGTATCCCCTTCATCTGCTTCTCAAATCCAGCTCCAAGTACTAAATAGGGGCTTTGGGAGCAGATCATTTTGACAAAGGCAAGCAATGGATTACTAGATTTTTAAATCCCACCATGGAAATCAGAAACAATTCTCGCTGGACCAGAGAATTGTGGATAACCTCACCAGATGGGGCATGTAGACACTTTGGGAGCAACTAGTTGCTGTCCTATCCTAGTTGAGAAAGCTTTTAAAGCAAATGATCACCAGTACCTACACGTGGCTTGTAAATCTTTCTTCTTCAACTCCAACTTTACTTATAAAGACAACAGTCCCCTAAACTGAGCCATTGGTTGCTCATATCCCAAAACACTCTGATGATGAAGTTGCTGAGACCAGAGAATAGGAAGGTGAAGAGATGGGAGCTGCTCACTCCTGAAGGACGTGCAATCTGGAGTGGGGTTTAAGACAATTCACCACAGTCTTCAGTTCCTCAAGTACCTCTTTTCACCGGCCATTCGCATTGAAGTCGGCCCTGTCTCACAGTGAACCCTACCACAGACTTCCACTCCCCCTCAACAGGAAAACCTCTTTTTTGAAGGTTCTACTGGACCACTCGACCATTCTTACCAGGAAAGACCGTGGTCGCACATGTGAGAAGTTGGACTCAAACATTATTACATGTAAAAAAAATTATTAGCTTATATCACTAAAAAATTCAGACACAGTTGCACCCAGGTGTTCAAATGATGACACCAGAAACTTAGGTATATTTGTCTGTTAACTCTGCTTTCTTCTACCTTAGAATCATTCTCAGGCCATCTCTTCCCCAAAAAGGCCACCACCAGCTCTGAGTCTACATTTCTCTTCCTAATAACTCCACCACAAAGAATACACCTTTCTTCATGGTTATGTGTGGCCTGGGTCTGGGCCTGGGCCTGAGCCTGACTCTCCTTGGTCTGAATTAGGTCACCTGCCTAAAGGAAAACTGAAGTGCTGTCACCAGAAGAAAGGGGCTTGGATGCTGGGCAGGCAGGAAAACAGTCTACCATAGGAATAAGAATAGCTCTCCGTAGCATTCAGCGTTAGTACAGTCAGACCGTGTACTGCAGGAACTCGTTCACGTGCTGATGGACTGTCACTTTCAGAAGGAATCTTCTCTCTGTCTCCTCCTTCCTTGCCAAGGTATAGCCTTTTGACTTGACAAGAACACCAGTGCTGAACCTCTGATGTGCTTTTTGTGCCCAAGATTAGCAAGCAGCCATCTCATTCTCCCCATGTACTTTTAAAAGCATCATTGCTTTTATTTAGCCTGCTGTGAAGACTCACTCAGCAAGGGGTTGCCTGACTTTAAATAGCTCTCCAAGGCCGGGCGCGGTGGCTCAAGCCTGTAATCCCAGCACTTTGGGAGGCCGAGACGGGCGGATCATGAGGTCAGGAGATCGAGACCATCC